AAAATTTGGAATGTTGTCAACCAGACATTGACTTTATTTTTATATTGGTTTGCATAATTATTTAGTCATACGTTTTATATTGGAATGGTGTATATTTCGATCGATCAGTTTATTCGGACTCCTATTTATTTCGAGATTATTCGTTTTAGTGATGCACTTCTATAACTGAAGGCATCCGAACTACTGTTGAACATAATTTAGCTTGGATCATTATGAAATTTCATGTGAAAGCATTTGTTGTAAAATTGTATTGTTGTTGTTGAATATTTTTGAAGTAAGTTTTGAAGGCGTGATCATGTCACTGTCAATTTCTGATGGATTTCTGAGCTCCGGAGGTGGTAGTGAGGGTCACGCCGGAGCTATGCTCCTGGTCCATAGTGGGATGTTATCTTCTGTATCCTATGTGGTTTAAGGGAAGGACGACTATACTATCACTGAAAGAGAGGAAGGTGTTGAGATCTTGCTAGAATGTTGTTTGTAGGGTAGGCGACTATCGTTTGCCACAAGGGAAGGAGTGACTACATAACCTCGTGTCAAACACGGTCACCGTACCTCTATGGTCGGGGTCTAGCCAGCCTCGGTTATTTGAGGTGGGGCTGCTCTACTCTACATGCAGAGGACTAATGAGATCGAAAACACAGGAATCGGTGAGAATGTGGTGAGGCTCGAATCTAAAGCGGGGCTTGATGTCGAGATGTTATCCTTACACGGATTACACCACTCCTCGACGCATTCACAACGGGTTCAAAATTAACGGGCATTATAACTTATGTGAATTGGAATGAGGATCATAACTTGGTCATAAAACTTGGGACGAATGGTTTCTCTCATGAATGGTTGGTTCGGATTTTTGTCTAGGCCCCCCAGGAGGTTGAATATTTTGAAAGACCCGTCAGGGGGTTAAACTTGATGTTTTTTAGATAAATGGATGTGTCAACCAATTAGGGTTTTGAAAGTTAATCAGAAGTTTTTCCGGTACCATTCTGAGACTAAATGTTTGGTTTTGAGTGACCACCAGTGACACCAGTGGGATGATGCTGGAATCATTTTAAAAAGTTCCTCTAAATCGAAGGCTTCCGGGGGCTAGACCTGGGTCCAAGTTTTGACAAGGCTTGCCAGAGGCAATATCTTGTATCATTCCATCCACATATGATTTGTAATGATTTAAGACCTCTGGAGGCTAAATCCAGTTCTGTTGTATTAAGTGAAGGTTTCTGGAGGCTAAATCCAGTTTTGTTGTTGTATTGTTGTATGTTGGTGGAAAAGTTTCGGCTTAGTTCCAGACGATTGTTGGAAATGTTATGTATTATGTTCGTTGCTTTCACGTGGAATCTTTATAATGATCCTGAATTCTTTTTTTTATGCTGAACGACGGGGATATCGTTCAATGGGATCCGGGAATGCCGTCGGGGCAAATACCGTGACAAGCAGGGTTACCTGACCGAACGTTCGGGAGCCCCCAGGCTGGCCCCCGAACGTTCGGGCGTTCGGGGGTCGAACACCTCCAGGTTCGGCCCCCGCCAAAAAACATTTCAGGGCCTAACAATAAGTTTTTTTTTTCTGATTTTTTTTTTTGTGAGTTCTCTACGATGTAACCTACACGCCAATAAAATTTGAAGTCATTCTGCTAAGTCAAAAAACCATTAAAAATCGTCAAAGATGGGGGTGTCAAAATATGCTCGCCCACTCACTATTTTGTTTTTTTTCACTTTTAACTTTTTGTTTTCACTTTATTTCGGGGCCTAAAAAATTTTATTATTTTTCGGGGCCTAACAATAAGCTTTTTGTTTCTGATTTTTTTTGTTGTGAGTTCTCTACGATGTAACCTACACACCTGTAAAATTTGAAGTCATTCTGCTAAGCCAAAAAACCATTAAAAATCGTCAAAGATGGGGGTGTCAAAATGTGCTCGCCCACTCATTATTTTGTTTTTTTTTACTTTTAACTTTTTATTTTCACTTTATTTTCGGGGCCTAAAAAATTTTATTATTTTAAAAAAAAAAAAAATGAGTTATTGATTATGTAAACTACATATCTGTAAATTTTCAGCGGATTTCTCAATGCCAAAACATAATTAAAAATCCGCAAAGATGGCGGTGTTGAGAAGGTGCTGGCACACTCACTCATTTTAATTCTCTTTCTTTTTTTCTTATTTTTATCATAGTGTTTAGTTTTTGAACCCGAACGCCCGAACGTACGGAATCCCTTCGGTGCGCGCGATCGGAAGGGGGGAACGGGGTGGGTAGCAGTTGGGGAGATCGGGAGATGGCAGTGGAACGGGGAAGGGGGGGGAAAGGGGTCCAAATTTGAGTTGGGAAAGAGGGCGCTGACGTGGTGGGAAGTCGACTCTCCACGTGTCAATGATCCTTTTGCAGGTTCGCCTACGAAACCTTGTTACAACTTCTCCTTCCTCAAGATGATAAGGTTCAATGAACTTCTCATAGCATCACCAACTGCACTGCAATTTAGACACTTGGATGACGGAGGACAAGCCAAGGCACGAGCGGCAGCGGATCGGCCAGTAGGAGAACCGCAGCGGCTGGAGTCACTCCGCCGTCGAGGTTACCAAGGAGAAAAACGCCAACTTGGATGGCGGACGTATCTGGTCGCCTTGATGGAACACGTGCAGCTGCAGGGATGGGGATGGCTATCCGCGATGGTGGGATAGAGAGAGGGGGGAGGGGGGCTTATACACATCTGGGGAGGGAGGGAGGGAACAGAGGTTTGAAACCCGCTCCGATACCAATGTGACACACGTGCAGATGGCACGTGCGGAGATGGTGTGTGTGTGTGTGTGTGTGTGTGTGTGTGTGTGTGTGTGTGTGTGTGTGTGTGTGTGTGTGTGTGTGTGTGTGTGTGTGTGTGAGAGAGAGAGAGAGAGAGAGAGAGAGAGAGAGAGAGAGAGAGAGAACTGAGTGAAGTTCCAGTCCCGATCAATGAATGAACGAATCAAGAATGAATGAACCAACTGACCCCTCGAACCTGGGCCTAGGCTGAAGTGATATACTGGCCTAGGTCCAGGTACGGGAACAACCTGGTACCGGACCAGGGTTAGGCCGACGGCCTGAAACTGGTCTGGTTGCGCTGCCGTGTCGTAGGGGTACCGCTACAACGTCAAAGTCATACCGTTTTACGGACAACTAAAATACCTTACCGTGCTGCACGTTACCTGCCTCCAGGTCTTTCAAAATAACATCTAAAATAGTTACCGTGACACCGGCGGTCAAACCTAATGCCGACCATGTCAACCCACCTCCGTGCACGTGTGCATGCCATAGGTAGACTCCTCAATCAAGAATAAAAAGATCGTTTGAATCATACCTTTAATAAAAAATAAGAAACTTTTCGATATAAATGCCGGTTCACATCATGCTAGAAAGAGAAAAATCATGCGCGCCTCAAACTTGCGCGCCCACACACTTTCTACCACCTTCAGACCATCTTACTCTCTTAGTTACAAAAAGAAATCTGGCCACAGCTCACGTGGTGCTCCTATTCTTTTCAACTTATGATCATTTTCTGTCACTTGCAAAACTCAGGGCGGATACCGTTATAAGGGTATTCGCGTCGACACCGAGGAGACCTCTTGAATGGATTTTCTTGACTTCCCCTGTTAGAGAGTGCTCATGAACATTTTTCCGTTTTCAGGATAGGTGTGGCAAACTCCTTACAAATACCAAACTCCAGTGGGCCGAACCCAAAAAAAAAAAAAAAAAAAAAAAAAAAAAAAAACAGTGGGCCTACCAGGCTATGGCCGTCGCTGCACGGGACACGAAACGAAAAACAAAATGCGTGCATCTTCCTGCAGAAAATGGGCATGTTCATCGGTTTGCTATAAATTGTAAGGAGTGTATTTTGGTACCTTTTGTGGGCGGATGCACTCGTTTCGTTTTCGTGTGTCGTTTGGCGAGACCCAAACCCAAAAGGGTCTCTCTCCACTACTCGCCAGATGCACAAAAGACAAAAGATACGGTGGTGTATCATTCCATATTCTAGGGAAAGATTCATTCTCAATTTCCATATTTTGACGGCATACTCACACGGGGACCTATATTTCCAAAATCCCCCCCAAAAGGGGAAAAGGCCGGTCACACGGATCTACCAAATCCGCAAATGTACTATTCCTGTGCCCATTTGTCAGCAGCCTGGGAAGCCTGGGGGCAAGGGATTTTGCGGGCACCTCTGGAGGTGACCTTAAATGCCTTTTTTTTTTTTTTTTGCATTTTCTTCAAAAAATGGCAAAAATTCGTTCACAAAAGTTCTTGCACAGTTTGTAGATGGCGCCGTGTGACCAGCCAAGAACCAAATCCACATTTCTCCAGACAGCCACGAACTTGTCCCATCTGAAAAGGTACAGCATTGTGACGTGAACCATGCCCAAAACCTCAAATCGACCCTTCACAAATTATGGATTTGGGGTCACAGTGTGAGTATGCCCTGAGATTAGTGGAGCGAGCCTCACCACTCGTCTAAACGAAAAAAACACTCTTCCGCCACACCACTCTCAAAGGAGAAAAACACAAAGGGCCTCGCCACACCACTGTCGAAAGGCCAAAAAAATTGACGGCTGTCAGAAGAAATTTGACAGCCTCCATTCGACAGTTTGCCCCCTTTTAGCCACACAGCACTGTAGAGTGGGCGCACTTGTGAAAACAAGATGGAAAAAGACGAACGCACCTGAGGGTAGGACATACATTAATCCATCCCGACCTTACCCCCACTCACCAAATTTCGAAGAGAAGTCGATGGCGCAGCCGAGGATCCCGACCTTACCCCCACTCACCAAATTTCGAAGAGAAAACAGACAGAACGAGCATATGAGGGTTTCTTCGACACACCTGCTAAGAAGACCGAAGAAAAGAAGAGCACACAAGAAGCGCAAGAGAACAAGACACCTCCAGAGATCGTGAAGAGCACGGTGAGCAGAAGGGGGAAAGGACGGGTGTTCGTCCCACCAAGAGCCATTCTCAGATCGGCTCCGGTCGACGAGTCCGGTTTGGAGTCTCAATGACTCTCCGTGCCCCCTACCTCAGACGATCTATGGAAATCCTTGCGGATCGACATGGAGCAAAGACGGACCCTACGGGGGCGGGGAATCAGTGGAGAAGAGGCCGCGGTGGTCGAACGACGAATCACCTCGTCTGTAATGCTACTTGGGATGACCGGAGAAATCCGATGGCTGACCAAGTACCTGGACAAAGCGGAGTCGACTGAGAATCTGCTCGAGCTACGAAGCGGTGGCACTTATGTAATCGTTAGCCCATGGCCGAAAAGGATGTACGTAGGATGTACCACCAGGCCGATCATCCACAGATGGCGTGAACACGTGGCGGCAGCAAACTCCAACTCACGAGGAAAAGCGCCGCAGCTATATCGCTGGATGAGAACCTTCGGTGTTGACAGATTCGTGGTGGTGCCTATTAGGCACATGACGGAGCAAGACGACTTCGTATTCGAGCGATACTTAATCTGCGACCTTTGTCCTAGCCTGAATACGCTAGGGACATCCAGGCGCAGGAGCATGAAGACGAGGAAACGGAGCGGGAGGAGAGAACGGAACAAGAGAGGGCATAAGACAACAGGCACATCTGTGGTGACATTCAAGACAGCAGGAGGCGTACGTACGTCCATCCTGAATTGGCTGGAGGAGAAGAAAGATACGTCGGGTGAACGGCTCGAGGTCGAGTTTTTACCGGGCAGACACTGGGCGGACGACTGGAAGAAGTTGGAAGCAAAGTACGGCGCATTCGAAATCCTGATCGGTGGAAGGAACATGACGTTTAAGAAGTCGAAGAAGATGTGCCAATCGGGAGGCATAGCGATCTTCCTGAAGATCCAGAGGATGAATACGACCACAGAACGAAACAAGGTGTTTCTGAGTAAACTGCTGAGCCAACCAGGAAGAGTGTCTTCGCTCAAACGTTTCACGACCGCGAAACTAGTCGGTTTGTACAGGACTGTCGGACTCTTCGGTAAGAAGGTTACTCGCAACAAACTGAGGATTGCGCTAGACAAGGTGATTAGGCAGAAGACAGGGGTGAGCGTTCGGAGATGTGACAGTAAAATATCCGTATAGTGAATGTGTCCTCAAATCGCAAGTTAGAAAGACCACGGAGGCTGTGGTAGAAGCGAGGGTAGTAGAAGAAGCAGTTGCGGGGTTTGTGAAAAACAAGTTGAGGGTAGTGTTTACGAAGAACAAGACCGTGGGAGATATCATCAACAATCACAAGAACTATGCGCACACTGGGTCAGTTACGTGCAGGTGTAAGGAGTTCTCCCTTGAAAAACAAGACGAACATGTGTTGACCAGGCTATTAGATGTGAAGGATGCACCGACTTTCATGCGCAATGCAAAGAACGTAACCAGACCAGATAGCACGCTCAACAAGAAGCTTTTGGACAAAGGGATCGCAGATGCGACGGCACACCTGAAAGGTCGCCGCCAGCCGGAGATTGATGTCGGCTCGTGCTACGTACAGAGCACCCGGAATGAGAAGGCGTGGACAGAAAGAGAGGTTAGGACTTGGGTAGCTAGGTACGATGAGTTAGTGCTAGCCCCCATCGACCGCAACCCAGAAGATACCATTATAATCTGCCCAGTTCTGTACAGGCATGGGTTTTGAAAAACCTTTGTTTGGAACTCAGATTATGAGAAGTTTGACAAGTCGGAGGAGGAGATCCTGACGGAATGCAAAGAAGACTACGTGAAAGCAGGTCTAGGAGCCGTGGGAAAGTGGAACACCGTTGGAAAACTCGGAAGAACCTACGTTATACCGAAGGACAAAGACCTCCAGCGATGGAGACCCATTGCGCCAGCATGCACAGACCCAGCAGGAACAGGGCAAAGGAGATGTGCGAGGGCTTTACACTGCCTTGTCAAGAGATTCTCCAAGGATAACAACTTCCACCTCGGCTCGACCTACGAGATGAAGGACGAGCTGCGACCAATAGGGGAGTTTTTTCAGATGGAAGGGTGCACTGCGACAATTGGGCGTTGCTATGATATCAAAGAAATGTTTTCTTCGATATCACTCACATCGGTTATGGACGCGGTCTCAGAACTGCTAAACCATTTCGAAGAAGACGGGTGGAAGCAGGTCAGAGTAGCCATCAGAGGAAAGCTGTGCTGCATGTCGAAGACATGACGGAAGCAGAATGGGTTCATCTCGGTGGAATTCGATCAGATCAGGAGTATGGTCACGTACGATCTGGCACATGCGTATATGATGTGTGGTCACATCGCACAAAGACAAGTCCTGGGTATCCCCATGGGGAAAACCTCTAGCCCGGTTTTGGCCACCATCACCTGCGCCATGGCCGAATCCAAGTTTCTGGCATCACTCGGGCAGGATAGGAAGTTGGTTCGGGGCTGGAGGATGGTCGACGATGTGTCCATCATCGTCGGATGTAACAATGAGCCTGCGTCGCATGACAGAGCCGGAAGAATTTTGAAAGGTTCCAAGTGACATATGACAGCGGACTCAAGCTCATCCGCAAGGATGAAGGGACGAACACTTGGCAGTTCATAGGGGGCAGAATGCACGTTGACGCTGATCCAGTACAGATACATTTCGTGCAGGAGACAAAGAATGCTGGGCCGCTCCGTGAAACAGGAACTCTACGTTACCACTCAATGCAAGATTTCGACAGTTACTCCGAGAAAAGGATGAAGAAAGGAGTGCTGCTGGCCACTCTGAAGAGGCTCTGGTTCTCATCGACATCGAATGCATTGAGCGTAAGTTCGGTGGCGTATGCGATTACGGAGAGTATCCTCCGGGGCTACACCCCGGAGGTTTCACTAGGCGCCTTGGCCAAATTGGCCAAGGTTACGGGCTACAAGGCTCTGAGGCTCCTCACAATCTGTTTTCAACAGCGGCTCAGCGAATCAAAGCGAAAGCGAACTTCAACCGCGGAAACCCCGACAAGAAGTCGGGTGGGGACGGACACGGCCTGACAGCAGGCCCGACAGCAGGCTATAACAGGGTTCTTAGATCGCGTGTTGTACGTTTTCGGTAGCCTTGCTACCCGTATCTCGTATTTATTTATTTATTTTATTTATTTGGCTTCGATCCCGCTCGTCGGTTCATATTCGGGTTTTTCAGGTTTTTCAGGTTTTTTCAAGTTGGCCCGTTTTCTAGCTTTAACTTTTTCGTTCACTGGATTCTGTATTTTGAGAATCCCTTTTGGAAATCCGGCTCCATTTTACGTCCGAGACGGAGCGCGGGTAGGCAAGTACAAAATTTTGAAGTGATCCAGAAAGGAAGTTCCTAGTGGAACGACGGGTAGGAGAGAATGAGGCCCAGGGCACCAGGTATATATGACTGAGAGGCAAGGCATTCGGCCTCTTTTCGACTGAGTGCGTGAAGCACACCTTCCTGATGATTCCGCTGGAGCAGGCGGATGAAACCGGTAGAAGGATACTGCTTGTCGTTTTTGGGAGATCCAGCTATGGTGATGTGGTTTGCTGTGTCTATGTAAAGTGTGAGCTTGTTCTAAGATTCGAAGGTTGAATTTTCAAGGTCTCTTCCTTGTGAGTTTGTTCGTATCTCTGAATATTTGCTGCTATGTGTGTATGATACAGCCCTCCGCCACTGTGTCTCCCGACGCACTGTTGCCGCAGTCTGCCGTTACCCCCAGTCACGAAATTTCGAAGAGAAGTCGGTGGCGCAGCCGGGGACTGTCGAAAGCTTCGGAGTAGCAGGCTGGGGATTCAACAACAACTTTCGAAAGGAGGTGTCGAGAAGCATTCTCTGACAACTGGCGAATTTTTTTATTATTTATTTATTTTTTATTTATTATTATTATTTTTTTAAAAACGGCGACGGCCTTGAGATATTATCATTGAGCTGATCGGCCCCAAGGCAATTCATTAGTAGTTGGTTTTACTCATCAAGTTCCATCATCTGGATTCGAGCACAGGTCTGTATTTTTAACAGTTCATGGGTGTACCCACTGAGCTAGGCTCTTGGGTAACTGGAGAATTTTCTGCGACTTTGACAGCCTGTGTGGGGGGAAGAGAAACTATCCCAGCTACGTGCCCAGCTCACATGACATACTATTCTCTTGCCTTTGCCTTCTACTAAAGAATACCGTGGGGTGAGCACACAGACAGCTCACAACAATTTTTAACGGCCCTTTGCTCGGTCGAAGGGCTAATATAAAGAAAAAAGAAAAAAAAAAGGAAATAAAAAGGGAGGGAAACTATTGAAAATTGCATTTGGAAAGTCCTTTTGGGACAGTTGGGGACAGAATGGGACGCTGGACCCGTCTGCCAGCAGAGCGAGAGGAGTTACCTAGAGCAGCAGATGGAGACTCGAGCTATGCTCGTAAGCGAAACTGGCTGAGGCTGCCAGGATAACTCCGGGTTGAATTGTGAGGACCCCGGTCTCGTCCCAGTTCTTGAAATTTTAATACCTGCTTTCCAAAAAAAAAAGGTTCAGCCTCCTATCTTGGGTATCAGACATTTCTTTTTTTATTATTATAAATCCTCTTCTCCTCGTAAATTTCATGAAATAATTTGAGGCCGGGGTCCTCACAATTCAACCCGGTGTACTGAGAGCATTACTCAGCTTAGCTTATCCTGGAGAGAATCAGGGGCATAGATCTCAGGTAAAACTTCAGTAAAATAATAAAGGTAGCCCGTGAGAGGGAGATGTCTACTGTAGTTTCTGGAACTTAAGGCAATTGCCTCCACCTAAAACGGTCCAGTTGAGTCTCCCTATCCGGAAAGAATGRGCTCTCTCAGTCCATCAAGTGCAGCCGAGAGCAGAAACTACACTGGCCAAATGSTTCTACTGTGTTCAGTTTGTCAAGCCAATTCCTGCYGAGTGAAGTTCTCTAGAATATCTGAGGTATCTTTTTGGGGTTGAGTCTCTTGCTAAGAATCCGTTATGGATCTAAAATAATCAGGTTGCTTCTTCTTTCCTCCAAGAGAACAGAGAAGACTAGCGAGTTCGTCTGGGTAGGAATGGCCCAGCAGAATGGGAGGCTCCATTTAGATTTGAAATTGCGAACCTTATACGCTAAACTAGCCTTAGAATTGCAGATTCTACGCCAATCTGCCAGTATAATATCTCTGAGACCCTGAAAGCATTAGAAGGTATCAGACATTTCGACAGTGGTGTGCCGACCGTGTTGTGGCGAGGCCCAAAGCCTCTCTCTCATGTCTCGACCGATCCATGTGGCAAAAGTTTCTGCATAACGGACAAAAACCTCGCAAAAAAAAAAGCCTTCGCCGTCTCTCTCTCTTTCTCTTAGCCGCTCCAAAGCCTCTCTCTCATGTCTCGACCGATCCATGTGGCTGAATTTTCTGCATAACGGACAAAAACCTCGAAAAAAAAAACGGCTTCGCCGTCTCTCTCTCTCTCTTAGCCGCTCCTGCGCGGGCAGATTCACTGTATGTATCTGACCTCTACAGCGAACTTGGCGGAAAGTACGGCCGAAAGCTCGCCGCGCCAGAGAGGTCTCACGACGCAAGTGTTTTTTTTTTTTTTTTTTTTTCCTGCAAGTTTTTTGTCTTTTGCTCGAACTCCAAATATATATATATATATCGTCACAAACAGAACTGCCCGGTAAACCGTAGGCAGAGAGAGAGAAGAGGACAACAAACGAGGGGCTGTGACAAACTGTTTCGTCGGAGTTTCATATATATATGTTCAGCCTCCTGATGAGTCGGTGAAACTCCGACGAAACAGTTTGTCACAGCCCCTCGTTTGTTGTCCTCTTCTCCCTCTCTGCCTACGGTTTACCGGGCAGTTCTATTTGACGATATATATATAATTTTTTTCCTCACCACGAAAGTTGCTTTTCCCTTGTAATCCAGCGGCCAACGTAGCCCAGTTCGTAAGGCACGTCGGGAGGTTTTGGGTTCAATTCCCATTCCCATTGGCCTCATGTACCTTGGTGGGCAAGCTTGGCCCCGGCCACCTAGGGCGTGGTCCCACTAGCAAAGAGGATCGGATCGAATGCCTGAATCTGGACGAGTTTATGAATATGTGCAGGAAATCGAGATTGAACTGCTTTTCTGCATCGCTGCTTAAAACACATCCAGATTCAGGCGCTCGATCCCATCCCTTTTGCTAGTGGGACCTCCTCGGCCCTAGAGATAGC